CTATCACATTTTCTATCCCAATAAAATATCCGCATGAGTTCCACCTGTTCATCCAAGTCTTTCTCCATCATTTCAGTATTTACATCATTTCTACCATCATAAAACCGTGGCTTTTCCCATCTACCTGGAGTCACTGGAGTCCCAACTACCAGGTGGAAGAATTGGACCTGCACCTGACAGATCTCACGCACTGCTGCGCTTCTCCTGGCGCCTGCCTGGTAGTGGCCTGGCAGGTAGGACATGCTTTGGATTTCAAGGGCGACCTGTCGAGGGCTGGCAGCATGGATAAAACGGCCATGCGGAAGCAGACCTTTCACCTGGAGGTCACAGTGAGACTTTGACTTTGGAGTTTTTTTAAAAACTTTTTGGAGTTTTTTTTTTCTGACAAAAAACTGTAAATATGGGTTTATTTGAAAATGGTGTACCATTGAAATCCATGGTTCATCATCAATTTCCCTATTAAAACTGTTGGGGGTACAACCCATGTTCACGTCCGCACGGTTTTGGGGTGGTTGGATCTTTTGGAACGTGGTTTAGTTGTGTGACTTGGGGTGCTTTTCTTGAACCTTGTTTTTTTTGCAGATAAAGGGGAGAAAGCATGAACTATGAAATGAACACATGATCGATATTTATTTAGAGAATATCATGGGGCGAACAATCATTGGGTTGTTGTTCTTAACAATGGGGACACAACGATGAACAATTATGGTTCACAGAAATAAAAATCCTCCAATTGGGAATGGTTGTTCAAGTAGAATGGCAGGGGGTGTTCAGAAACGATGGCAGTCTGGCAGACAGCCATTGTCATTTTATGTGGCAGACAGCCATACTTTTGAGTGTTTGTGGCTGATAGCATATATGATTGGAGTTCAGAGCTTACCATACTGAGCCATGGTCGTCCCACTGGGGAGATTCCTGGAGTGAGGAAATCCTTGCGCTTGCTACACGATCTGGATGGATCAGAGAAGATCTGGTTGAAGCTGTTCTTGGTCAACCGAGCTGGTGCAAAGGAAGATGTGTGGCTCGTCTAGAAGATTTCACAGGTGAAATGGGAGATTCATGGCCTGCAAACTTTTTAAGCCGCTTCTTGAACATTGTTTTCTTTTTGACCAGATGGGATTTTGGAGTTTTCCCCACGCCCATTTTTTCTTAATTCATTAAGATTTAGATGCATGAAAGGTCATGAAAGGCAGACGAGTTTCCTTGCACGTCAAACATATTATCAGCTGGATATTAGATATGTATACATATGTATATAATTATATATATATTTTCAACCATCCTTGTGGGGAATTTCCACGAGGCATCTTTTTTTGGAGATCCGCGGCCGTTTCACTGACATGGTATGGCCAACAGTTTAGAACCCAGTTACCACCTGGTTACCACTGTAACCACGGGCGGAGACCTGCACCACTGCACCAGGATTCTACATACGGTCGGTGCTGTCGATCAAGAGGACTCCAAGAGCATGCTGTTTGTCAATGGATCGGGCCGTTTCGAGTTCCACGAAACTGAGCCGCCTGGACTGGTTGAAAGGTTGAATGGGAAAAATGCTGATTTCGGGAAATTCTGAGACGAAAAGGTAGCCTGAGATGTGGCCGTACAGTACACGGCAATCGTTGGAAATGGAACATCCCCTAGTTGTGTTTACTTAGAATCATTTGATGTCAACCCTGGATTAATAAAATTAATAAACCCCGTAAAAACGGTTGTTTAATTGGGGGGATACCATAAAAAAGTATCAGATGAAAACAGGCTATTTTCCAGAGATTTCCAGCATCGACAAAACCAAAACCTCGAAATACGTTTCTTTCTTTTCAATATTCTGTCATATTCTTATATATATATATATATATATGTATTGTGTATATATAATATATAGAGAATATTATAATATAATATATATATATAATATATATATAATATATAATATACATATATATATATATATATACATAATTTTGAACCGTACCCCGATATCTCCGTGTTTGTTTTGGCACTTTCGCCAAAACCTGAGGGTTCAAGTTCCGGTTCTGTTGGATCAGCCCCAGGGACGCTGAAAAAAAAACCGTGGAACTCACTACACCAGTTTTCGCGGTTTCTCGCTTTCTCGCATCACTGAAAAAAAAACATCCCTGGTGGTTTAAAGATTTTAAAGTAGCAATTTTACCCAACAAAAACCACCAGACATTTTTTTTGTGATCTTTTTTGAGATCAAAACCTGTTTTTCTCTACGGGTGGTGAAATCTACCGGCCGTCGATCCGATGACGACCGACCGATTACGACCGGAGCTCATCGCAGGGTGTCGCTGGCTGATTACGACCTGGTGATGCAACTGTGGGATCGCAGCTCCAAAACGCGAGCGCAGATGATGGGGGAATGGAAGGACGGGCGGCAGAAGGATGGGGCAGGAATCGGATTTTTCACGGTGATAGAAATGGATTCATCCATAGTTGTCTAAGTTATCGATCTTTCGTGATTTCTAACTATTTCCTGGTTGGTGGTGACTGGAACCATGGAATTTTATGACTTTCCATTCAGTTGGGAATGTCATCATCCCAACTGATGAACTCATATTTTCAGAGGGTTGAAACCACCAACCAAATGGTTATAATCCCCTAAAAGTTGGGATATAAACCCCTGTAACAATGGTTGTATATACATATACATATATATATATATATCCTCTTATATACTATTACCAACCAGCTTCTATCTTTCCTTTTTTGACTTCTGGACTCGACTCTTCGACTGAAACAAAATGAACCAAGCCGAGCAATTCACCGCTGGGTCCCACGGCGATGATATCAATTTCATGACCTATTGAAACCTTGGTTTATGGTTGGTTTATGGTTGGTTTCCTCATGATATTTCCATCAGTCTCCCATGGAAATCCCCCAAAAAGATATGCGCTGCCAATAGAAGTAGTCTGTTCTTTTTTCACAAGATTTCAATCCATCCACCCATGATTTGAACATGAGAATTGCTGGTTTTGGATAGTTCATATAATATATCATAATATATCAGGACTAGTCCATTCATATTCCATTCATAACCATTCGCAACCATGATATAACCACATATCTATTATAACATGACATATATATAACCATCATATAACCATCATATAACCATATTATAACCATATTATAACCATATTATAACCATCATATAACCATCATATAAATCTATGTATATATATATATATGTCATATTCCACTGATAAAAGCACCCCAGCCTCGGCCAGGATCCCATTTCCGAGCTCCGCGACCTCATCAAGGGCCGTGGCTTGCAGCTGCACTTCCGCGCGCTGATGCACCACGGGCTGCGAAACATGGGGGAGGCGCCTGGGGCGCTTGGGTTTTTTGTTGCGGGATGTCTCATGGGTGGAAGTTTTTTTCATGGCCCATAAGAATGCCATTGAAAAAATGGATGGCAGGATGATATAACTGGATTCCAAATGATATGATCAACTCGCAACCGGAGTTTTGTTGGAAAAGTCATATTTTGTTGATCCAAAATATTGATCCCAAAGTCATCAACTTTTTGGATCTTTTTTCATGGGATCATCCCAGATATTTTTGGATCCCTATTTTTTGATCCCTCTGGTAGCTGACATATCTATTGAAAATGGTCATAGAAATAGTTGATTTACCCATGAATAGGAAGGTCTTTTCCCATAGTTATATTAGTTTACCTGAGGGTGTATCTATGAACAGCAGAACTATTGAGTCATATACTTATGCTACATAAAATCACCCTGATGAGAAACCCTTCAACATCACCCCAAATTCATGATTCATGCCCATTTTTATTCCATCACTATCCTTTTTTTTTTTAAGCATCAACATGTTCATGGAAAAATCTCGATGTTCTCATAAACAATTCCCTCTGGCCAGCGACATGGCGTCTTGGTTTCAGAGGTCAACATGATGCTGGACATCTTGGACTCCCAAACCACGGTCCCCCATGAGGAACCGAAGCGTTCGAAGCTTCCCAAACGTCGAGGGAGCCTTGACAGCGAATTGGGTATGTCCCGGCTTGAGATACACCAGGAAAACACAACTCCCGTTGTTGGTATCCAACATAAAATTCATGTACCCTGCTTTGATCCTTTTATTGTCGCTATTTACCCCCCAGTCTTATGTTTCCACATTTTCTCAGGAAAACTGAGATTGTTGATGATATATCCCCTTACATATCCTCTCTATACCATTACACACACATACACGCACACACATATATATATATATAATATCCCCAATGGTCAGAAAATAAGCGTCAACACACTTTTTATCCAACTGGGGCAGGAAGATTGAGAACACTGACTTATGTCACAAATATGTCCCAATATTTTCTCCATTTTTTTGTATTTCCCACATGTTTGTGTGTGGGGTTTTGTTTTTGATTCTGTATCCCGCTCCCGGTCCCGACCACCCCGCACACTCTATTTCACACACCATCTTTGTCACACAACTTTGTCACACACACTATCTTTCACACACAACGTTGTCACACACCATCTTTCACACACAACTTTGTCACACACCATCTTTCATACACACCTTTGTCACACACCATCCTTCACACACAACTTTGTCACACACAACTTTGTCACACACCATCTTTCACACACCACTTTGTCACACACCATCTTTCACACACAACTTTGTCACACGCCGTCTTTCACACACAACTTTGTCACACACTCTCTTTCACACACAACTTTGCGTGGCAGACATGGCACTTGGCAACATCCACCTTCGTTTTGCGTGGCAGGCGTAGCACTCATGACACTGGGCTGGCTTTGGTGGCGCGCTTGGGCGCCGTTAGTCACACACACACAACTTTGTCACTCACAATCTTTCACGCACAACTTGTCACACACTCACACATAATCTTTCACACACAACTTTGTCACAAGAACTTTGTCACACATACACACACAACTCTTTCACACACAACTTTGGTACACACAATCTTTCACAGACAACTTTGTCACACACAACTCTTTACATACAACTTTTAAAATTATCGAACCTCCACCATCTCCTTTGTCCTTTCTGCTTTCTTCCTGCCGCATCAACCACTTTTTTCTGATTATTGGCAGAAATTGACTTGTGGGGTTATCCGGTCCTTTAATTCCCATTTCTCTCCCACCAAAAAAACTCAGGAAAACTGAGATGGAGCGGAAGGACAAGTTCTATCTGCACATAGGTTCCCTGGGCGTCCATGCCTCAAGGACCCGGACGCCCTATGTGAAGGTTATCTCTGCCGAGGGCACGGTGTCTTCCACCTGTGAATATGAGGACGGAAGAGGTATGCATTGGGTTGGTTGTCGTAATTTTATTTATTCTATTGATTGTATCAATAACAATTTATGATATATATATATTATAGCATTTGTTTTCTTACCTATATAGTGTATATATATATATGTATATATATTTCGTTGTATTTATTTCCCTATTTGTTTATTTGTGATTATTATGACGATGCTCATGAACAAAATATGATTGCTATGTTCATTATTATTCTTCTTACTATGATTATTATCAAGGCAGTTCTTAACCTATAGAAATGGAGTTGCAGACACTAGAAACGGGGGTAGTTATAAGTCCTGCAGAACTGGGGTGATAAGCCCTGCAACTGGTCTCCAACCTAGCAGCCTACATCTGACTGTTCTTTAAGACTTCTCAACTGGTGTCCCAACTGGTTTCTCTGAATTTGGGGTATTTTTCACGGTATATACACCAATTTATCGCTATGTCAGCTATGCTCTAAGGAAAATGATGACTCCAAAGACAAACCATTCTTGGACAAACCGAAAGATGGATCATCCCACGTCACTCCACTTCCGCGACCCAATCATAAAAAAGGCGACCCTTTAAGGCTTTTTGGACCATTTGGACCGCTTCAACTCAGACGAACAGCATCCATAATCATAAAAAATTCACTGTTGAATGGATGCTGGTAACTCAAGTAATTATCATGATTTATGGTAAGCTTATGATTATGGTGCTTATCAGATTCATCACATTCACTTCTTGTACTCAAAATGTGCAATCTCTGGAAAGTATTTATGAAATTTTATGAATCTTTCTTGGACACCTGAAGAAACTTCAGCCAATGGACAACTGGTAGTGATAAATCCGATTCATACTGGTAAGGTAATGCCTAATTTTTCGTGGAAACATAGGATACATCCGAGTGAATTCTCGAGATGTCCCATCACCCCATGGGGTGCCCCAGAACACCGTGCGCAATGTCGCGGCAAAGGACCATTCCCATATATTACATGATATAATCTCTATAATTTTACATTCTACGTGTGGATCTTCCAGTTTAATCTACCTGTTTTTGTATATCAAAGATCCGTGCTGCGGGCACCAGGAGGTGGACGAGGTGGACAATGCCACGGCCGGCTTTGGCGAATTCACTGACGCCCTGCAGGTGAAGGTCACGGCCGGCCACGCGCAGCTGCGGATCCAACTGTTCCAGGATCGGACGGAAAGCGAGCTCTTGGGACAGGTGGGGTCACCCGGGCCGAAGGGGCCACCTGGGGAGGTGGCGGATGTGGCTTAGCATCTGGTCAACAACTATGAAACTTTCACATATGGACAATTTTTGCATCTTGAATGGGATACGTGATGATGAACGGGTTGATTTTCATGAATCATTCATGGGTGATTAATGATATTAATGGTAGTGATTAACCATCTAGTGAGGGAACCTGCTTGGGGTGGCCCCCAATGGCATGTAAATGATTTACGCTCTGGTAAACATACATATATAACTATGGAAAATCACCATGTTTTATGGGTAAATCAACGAACTAAATGGCAATTTTCAATAGCTATGTTAGTTTACCAGGGGGTATGCCCCTAGTTAAAATGGGATTATAGGGGTTATATTATATTATATATATACACGTGGATTATAAACCACTTACTAAGTGGGATGTACTTCCAAGTGGGGAACCCGGGGGATGTTTTTCTCCAAGCAGTGGGTCCACACTGAGGGTTTTTTACGGCAGGTGTAAAGGCCGGTGTTTGATCAGGGTGCTCACTCTGGTCTGCGGCATTTTACCTGTAAATTTCTGTATAAAGTGGCTCTTGTGAAATCTTGACATGCGTTTCGACTGCGCAGGCTCGCACAAAGTTTGCGGCGCAGTTTTGGTCTGAGGCATTTTTACCTGCAAATTGCCGTATAGAGTGGCTCTTGTGAAGTGTTGACATGCGTTTCGACTGCGCAGGCTCGCACAAAGTGTGTGTTCGCAATCTGGGCCGCGGCAGTTTTCCTGTGTATTTCCGTGTAAAGTTGATAACGTGGCTCCTCTGATGACTCTTGCGACATGTGGACATGCATTTCGACTGCGCAGGCTCGCGCAAAGTGTGTGTCCGTGTTCCGCGGCAGTTGTCCTGTAAAATTCCATATAAAGTGGCTCTTCTGATGTCTCTTGTGACATGTGGACATGTGGACATGCTCTGTTGTCGATCATTGCCTTGGCACCGTCATCACTCACCGTGCTCCGCTGTCTGCAGTTAAAGCAAGTTCTCCGCAGATGTCCGGAGTTTTTGCTGTATCTGGGGATAACAGTGAATGCACACGCAGTCAGGAGTCTTGGTCCGGTGTCGTTTTGTTCCGCCTGTCTTGTCTCCTCGTCCGCAAAATATCTTTATCCTCACCATCATCATCAACATCACCATCATCAACAACATCATCATCATCAACATTATAAAATGTGTTATTCTACTACTTCCCTCACACTCTTTGGGGTCTCTTGCCGGAATATTTTGTTCTCGAAAAAGCCCAGGGGGATTTTAGGCGCAACCACCATGAGAGACAGGTTTTTTCTGAGCGGTTGCGGGGCGTGATTTTTGTTGGAATTTCCGGGAAGCAACCACACCAGCAACATCCAGCGTTTTTATCTGTTGCCCCCGTCAGGAAAATCCAAGCCGGGGGTGGGTTCATGATTTCGGGTTTGATTTAAAATTATGGGAACGCCTCCGTGTTGGATGGTTGAGAACAACATTCCCTGCTAAGGTTGCAATTTTTGGGGAAGTTTTGGACAAACCCCATTTGAGCCATGAATATAGTTTGGGTACTTGGTTGTGAAACGCAGGTTGTTCACTTAACCTACTGGTTTATTGGGGATCATTATAACCAATCATAAGAACGCTTACTTCACTCAACAACCGGTACTAGCAGCTAGGCTAAGGCACCAGTTTGCTGAGTTTTTGGTGAGGGTAAAACAATGTCATAAACCATCCCCCAAATCACCATTTCTATAGGTTGTACGGTTACCATTCCCAATCATGGGTGGTTTATGGCATTGTTTTACCAACGTTACTCAGATTGGCCATAGATCTGTCAACCGACACCACTGCTTTGAAAAGAGGTACGGAAATGGTGGGACGGCTGGAGTACATCCTGCTGTTTCTACTAATTAGCCTCTGGTAATTTGTCACATGGCTATGGACAATCACCAATTTCAAGAAATAAATCATCTACTTTTAGCTATGGCCTTTTTCTAAACTATGTTAATCTATGTAACAGAGGTTATGTATGTGTATCTATGCCATGCAAACGGTACTTATCATCTTGAACCCAATGGTTCCATGTAGCGAAACTCTGCAGGAGCGTTGAAACGGTGATGGGTCAATCCATTCAGAACTGGAGGTCTTCAAATTTTGACCCATCTGACACAATTTCAGATGGATAGATGTATATATATATATTCTTAACACATAACTAAAACATGAAACTTTCAGAATCTGATTGATGAACAGATGCAATTGATGAACCATCTGATATTTTTTGAGTCTTTCACTGCCGCGCCTCCGCGCCTCCGCGCCTCCGCTTCTGTCGCAGGCCATCGTCTATGAAGCCAATGCTGAGCATGGACCATGTTGGAGGCACATCTATGGACCCAGGCTGGGCTTCGGAACTCCGATGTTGTGAAAATCCTAAACTACCAGAAATTGGAGGCCCATACCGAATTTGGGACCCAAATCATATCGTTTCCTACATGTATGTATATATCTATAGTATATGCAAATATAATGCATATATAATATGTATTTATCTGTATAATATGTTTAAATATCTTTAATATATAATATATAATATATAATATATACTATATAATATATAATATATAATATATACTATATAATATTTAATATACAATATATAATATACAATATATAATATATAATATATAATATATAATATATAATTTAGAATATGTAACATAAAATAATATATATATATAAATAATATATGATATATAACATATGATATATACAATATATAATATATAATACATAATATATAATATATAATACATAATATTTAATATATAATATATATTTTATGTTTAATATTTAATATTTAATATAAAATATATATTATATAATATATAATATACAATATGTACTGATATCTAATATATAAAATTTTATTTACAATATACAATATGAATCTATAACATATAATACATGTAATATTGAATATTTAATATATAATTTAAAATATAAAATGGATAGTATTTATTATAAAATATATACTATAAAATATATAATATATAATATATACTATTTAATATCTGATATCCAATATATATATATATATTATAAAATATTTAATATACAATATGAATATATAGCATAAATACATAATATTTTTTTGAATATATAATATATAATATATAAAAATATATGATATCATATATAATATTTAATATATAATATTAAATATATCATATTAAAATTTTGATATTTTATTCATAATATTTGACATAGAATATTTAATACATAATTAAATAATATAATATACTTATATATATATATATATTACAATATAATATATAATATATAATATTTTATATATATCATATATTATTATATATATATTGTATTTTAAAATTATATATTATATATTATGATTTTTTTTAATCATATGTATTGTATAGTGTATATTCTTTATTGTATATTAAATATTATAAATGCTCTTTTTTATATTATGTAAAATCGATATATATAATGTATATATGATATGTATATTTAATGTGTATATATAATATGTATTATATATAGTATGTATATATAATATATATATAATATGTATATATTATATATACTATGTATGTCTAATACGTATACAGGATATGTATATATAATATGTGTAGACTATGTGCATAATATGTAAATATTGTCTATGATGCATTATATATATCATATGAATATGTGTATAATATATATATAATATGTATACATATATATATACATATTTATGTCATATATATTTGTATATCTACTACATATATGTATATAATATATCATTATATTTTTATATATATACATATTCTATCCCATCATATCCCCATAAAATGGTTTGTTCTTATACCACCATTAATGGTTGTTTTTTATATGTTTAATCCTTCGGTTCCACTGTCCACCATTTTTTCAACGACCTTCTCTTGCAAAATTATGCCACCACTTTTGATGTTGTTTAAACAGAGTTATCATTGTATCCTAATGAATCCTCATAAAAGTAGTTGGTGTTATGCTGTCCTCCATTGATCAAACATGGCAGGGGAGAGTTCTCCATCGATGATTTTCCCAGCTATAACCTCCATTTACTTCAGGGACTTTCCAGCCATGTTTGATTGCCAGAGGGTATCTGTATTATCTCGGTTTCTGGTCATCCCATTTCATCCCATTTTCAAGCATCTCAAAGCACCATTCAACCACCATTCAACCACCATTCAGCCACCATTCAACCACCATTCAACCACCATTCAACAACCATTCAACCACCATTCAACCACCATTCAACCACCATTCAACCACCACTCAACAACCATTCAACCACCATTCAACCTTCATTCAACCACCATTCAACCACCATTCAACCACCATTCAACCACCATTCAACCACCATTCAACCACCATTCAACCCCATAGAGCTGGTGCTATCCCCATAGAACCTGCGGTTTCTGTTTGATATCCCCATAGGTTTTTTTTCGAACCCAGCTCCGCACCAGGAGGGCCGGAGGCCTCAGCATGTTGGGTATGGGCGTCTTAGACTCCCAGACGGAGGAAGCTGAAGAAATGGCACGAGGAGTTGCCGTCGGCGCTTTTGGGCTTGGACACTGGAGATTTTCGAACAATTGGGACACCTCAAAAACCCATCAATTGGTGATTCACAACCAAAGCAGCGAACCCTTCGACAGCCCTAAAAAAAACCTAAACATGGGGATTTTTTCACCGAGACTATGATGAACAATGACTAACATTTTTGTTCTTGAACAAGTCGGAAACGTAAACAAATCCTACGGAAAGGATTTTTGAAACCTTAGAATCAATGGGATTTGATAAATCACCGTTTTCAACTGGTGGAGTGCGCAACCATCCACAGTGAATCACCATGGACAAATCTCCCAAGTGAGAGGGGTATGTACAATAGGATTTAAGTTGGTGATATCATGGTTAGTTCGGGATTTTCGTTAAACATCAGCAATTTTGATCAACGGACATTGGATGGCATTCTCCCCAATTCCCCTTTTCTGGAAATGGGTGGGGCAAGTACAAACCATCCACAGTGGTTTTTGGCACCAAAACATAGGTGACATGAAGATCCATGAGCATCTGCGGAGATTTACATATGTTAGTAGTAGTTCTTGAAGGCCGCTTCGGCCTAAGACGTTTTTTCAGCTGTACCTGGTATGCTTGGGATCATCAGATTGGTTTCGAGCAGAGCCCAGGCTGTTTCCTATATTTCTTTGGTAAATTGATGGGAATCTAGCTGATTTTCCAACCCAACACATGAGATAAGCCAAGACATCCAGGAACGCTGCCTGTGTCAGGACGTTTACCTCCCAGCTGTTACCATGGCTCGCTGTATATCACCTGCGACCGCTTTGCCGGGCGCATTGTGGGTCTGGTGTCGCAGATGACCAGGTCGTTGTTACCCTCCAGGTTTCGCGTGCGGCTGCATCGCGGGGTCTACTTAGATAGGCTGGTCGCCTTTGGCTACGGGAAGATTGCGAAGAGATTTGGAGTTTGATGAAACATCCAAGGGGAAGGGAGATCACAGATGCTTTTTTAGAGTAGTTTCCAAGCATTCTGAGAGGTTTTTTCGGGTTTCCAGGTCCAGCGTCCGAAACTTTCCATAACAGGGACCAGGGGCCAAGCTGTTCCGCCATTTTGTGTATTTCAGTGGTTGGTTGCATGAGAAGCTCCAAAATGTGATACTGCGGTGTGCCCAAAAAATCTGTCTCGGAGAAAAAACCATCGAGTTTCTTGGGATCTGTTGGGTGCCAACAACCACTTGCGTGGTGCCAGTTCAACCATTTCTTGGTTACATCAGTTAAACATCCATGTATACATAGTTTTTTTTTTGAATGTTTTTTTTTGGGCACTTTCCATCACAAAAACCCTTCCAATCGGCCAGGTATTGCAATCAGAAGCTCCTGGTGCGGGTGGAGATCCCTGGCAGCGCCCCGCTGCTCTTCCCCGGCGAGGTGAACGCCCAGGGCGCGCTGCGCTTCGGCGGCGATCCGGCCGAGCCACCGGGATCGCCGCCACCGAGTGCGTTGGAGGAGAACAACGCCTGGGTGGAGAGATGGAGCGATGGATTTTTACTGGAGGACCTGGGATGGACGTGATTTTAAGGGGATGGACTGGGAATTGATATCGTAGGAGGGTTGGCAAGTGGGGTTAGTGATGAATTGGAGAATCTAAAGAAAGAGGACTAAAATAGTAAGCAGGGGTATAAAGATAGTTTTTCGATGTGGAAAAGCCAGCAAAGTACTACGTAGATGATTGAGGATTCCACATTTTCGACGCTGAGAAGATTTCATCAAAAATTTAATTTGATGATTTTCCAGCCAATTTTGATTGCCAGAGGTTAAAATTTTTGAGAACCCACCTTTTTGAGTTGGGAAACGACACTGCAATGGAGGGATTTCTTGAGGTGGGTCCACATAACACATAGGTCTTCTGCAGTAGAAATATGGCTGCCATTCCCCCCCGGAGGGATGCAGAGTTTTCCGCTTTTAGGGTCACATGGCCATAGGTCAAGACTGGTCAAGTCTCCGAAAACTGGGTGAAATTCGCCACATAGGCAGCCAACAACCGTTTTGTCGAATCATTCTCTTCACAGAGGTCGGATCTGTCAGGAAGTCAGCCAGGCCTTTGTGTACATCCACCGTGAATACGATGGACTGTCCAGGCCCGCGGAGGTCTTTGGCACAATTCAGCTGCACTTCGCGCACTCACCGGCCGTGCCACAGTGGTCTATGCTGCAGTACGACAGGTGACCTGATTCTGGGTTGGTGAGCATCATTTTCTTGGGAGTCTGATGAGGGTAAAAACATGTAAACACTATGTAGTTGTTGTTGATCATCATTTCAGTTTGTCAAGACTCCGCTTTTGCTACTTAGAATTAGAATTCCATTTCTGTTGCTTCAACTTCCTTGTCCGTTTCGATTCAATCTCTAATCACATGTCCCTTTTGTCGTTCCTCCAAAAGTAAGGAAGTGTTCCATGTTTGTTGGTAAGATCTCATGATCCTTTCCCGATAGCCTCAAATCTATATTTATCCACATACTTGGTCGGTGAAATTGCCAGAACGTTTGGGTGAAACCAGCTCCCATATCATCCATGTTATTCTTCATCTAATCTCATATTGTTTGGCAATAGTCAGCAGATGTCAGCAGTATTGTGAACAATCTTCTGCCATCCATCAGATTCTTTTTTGGGCTCGGAGACAGCTACCTTTTGTTGGTGGAAACGTCCTCCCACATGTTCCTTCGGTTGAAACCCAAGTGGATTCCTTCCGGACAATTCTGACAATTCTTGGTAACATTTGGCGGATTTGCCGTAGCCCTAATTTTTGGAACCAAACTTCAAAAATCCCTATAGTCGGTGAATGTTCTTCCTCAACAATCCCATCTTTTGAGTTAGATTAAAACACATGAAAACTGGAGATTGCCGCTGAATAAAGTGGGCTTAGGAACCCTAATTCCTAACCCACGCTGTTCGAGGTCCGTGCTGGCGGCGCAGAAGCTGCCTGGCACCGCGGCACAGGGCTTTCTCCTTGGCAGCGCCACCGTGGACATGGCGCCCGCAGGCGCCGCAGGCGCCGTGTCGGCGGCGACGGAGCCGCCGGTGACCACGGGGAAGGCCATGGCGCTGCTGCCAGTGTATGGACATGTGGATGTGCTGGCAGCAAGGACTGCAAGGTTTGTTTGTTTGTTTTCTTAATGTGGTCGTTTTCTTTTAAGTCGTTTTTCTTTTTTTAGTTGTCGAATTGTTTTTTTAGCTCTAAATCGATGTTTTTTCAACATTTTGGAATTATACAGCATCCTGACTTTCATCAAATTTTCGAACTTGAAACTTGAAACCTTGTTGTTTCAAGCCAATTTGTGGACATCTTTCCAGATCTTTCCGGCATTTTGTGACGGAGATTTCTGTGAAAATCACCTGGGATCTAGGAACTTGCCCGCCTCGGATGCGGATGGACTGGCGGATCCCTGCTACGAAGTGAGGTTTGAGGAGATGACGTTGAAGTTGGAGGAGCGACTGTCCTTTTGGATCAGTTAACCGCTTTGTAAAGTCGTTGGTACTAGCTAATGACAGCTAATTGATTGTGGATTGTGATAACCCATAAGGGTTTAGGGTTTTCAACCAACTAGTAAGGCTATTTTTAATGGCTCAACTGGTTGAAAAATTAGCGCCTGGTGATCGTAAGTCCCCAAGTCAGTCGTGGGTTATCCCTTCGAAAAACATGTCTCCTGGTGATGAACAGAGCGACTGTCATGGCATCCACGCCGTGAGGTGATCCCCCTTTTTGGGCCCCAGTATATAGTCATGAATTATATCATGAAACTTACAGTCATCATATCATATATATCATATTGTTGGAAGCCATGTGTATATATATAATTATATATACGGCTTGTGCCCTTGGGTACTAAAGTAAATGTTCGTTTTAACGGGACGAAATGCCGTGGCCATTTTGGATCGAAGCCACCGAACAAACTCCCCAGTGTTGTTTTTCAACGGGGGGAGATGTCGGTGCCAGTCTGGGCTAGAGATAATAGGCCTAGCCCAGGGAACAGGCCCTTGACGGTCTTTGCAGCCCGGGGTAGAGGCAGTGCCCCGGAGAGCGAGGGCCACTCTTCGCTGACCGGGAGCTTGCCCTCCCCGGAGGGAGCAACGATCGAAACCTCCGGAGTGACAGATCCCGGGGGCAACGGTCTAAACAAAAGCACCAAACGAGCAGAGCCATTGGAACGCCCAGCTCAGGGCAAAGCCAAACTTGGCAAAACCGAGGGCTTCTTCGCCCTGGGTGCCTGGTCAGCGCGCCTTGAGATCGCAAGGTTGCTAGCGACCGGAGTTCCTGCAGACGAGATCGTCGCGGAGATACATAGCGGCCAAGAAGGGGAGGACCCCTTGGTAGCCTGCAGCCCTTTTGTGCCGTGTCCAACCTCAAGGGGAAGGAGTCATACACCATCGATAAGGATGGACGCCCCTCCCGACCCGAGGGAGCCTTCAAGGAGCCCCGGTGAAGAGCCCCGACGTAAGGCCGCAAGGCCGGAAGGGGACACTACGGGAGTCGCAAAGGACCCTGCGGTGAAGGGAGTACCCTCATGGGCAGCGGAATCAGCCACGCAGTCCCTCTCCTTTGGAAGGAAGGTGGCGGTGAGACCTGCGTCCATTCCCCCGGCGGGGAGCGCCCCAGTCGATGAACCCATTTGGTCGCCTTCGGAGGGCTACTCCGCCTCTTTCAGCCAAGTGGAGGACCACGAAGCCGAAGTCGCGGAACTTGATGGGATCCTCGACCAGTTCTCGAAACATGCGGGCCGTCCTGAAAAGGACAAGAAACCGGTCAAAGCCGATCCGTACATTCCCCGAGCTCTCCCAAGGAGGACAAGACCCTTGGAGGCACAGAAGCTTGAGCAGTATCGGATGGCCACCCGCTCACTCTTCGAGGACATGGTGATCCTAGAGGTCCCTATGGACCTTGTCGCTGACGTCTCCAAGGATGGAATCGAGATTGACGACAAGGCCTTCACCACCCTCACTGATCCCAAGTCACCAGGCACAGGGCTAAGGTATTCCCGCCTCATGAAAAGGCTCCTTGCAGCACACGCCGCCTACCAGGAGGAGGAAGGAGCACCTTCAGATGCCTTCGGACAGAAGTTCATGCAGTCCCTCATGTTCAGCCTTATCCAGGATGATGTGGGCTTCAGGACCCCACAGAGCCTCCTCTACGCTGTGGAGTTCTACAGCGGAATCTTCGGCTTCGCCTGCCCGGGCGCCGCACACCCTAGAGTGCGAAAGCTGGCCAGGGAGTACGTTTGCAAAGCCCCTGAGCGCGAACCTGCCCCGTACTTCGAAGTTGGCTTCCTTTTGTACTTGGAGAAGGTTGTCTTGGATACAACACGTGATCTCCAAACGAGGGTAGCTTGCGGGAAGTTGCGCCTATGCACGCAGGCCAGTATCAGGCACAGCGATTTAGCTGGCACGGCAATGGCAGACGTCGAATGGTGTCGCATGGTGGGGGAGGCCTCAGTCCTTGGATTACGGGCCAAAGCTGCCCATACCAAGAGTGGCCCCCGGCCTTGGGCAGCAGCCCTCCTTGGTGTTTCCTCCGACACCGACTCATGGCTGATTTGCCTGGCCGAGCTCCTCTTGTCCATGCACGGACCTGGATGGAAGCACCACTCCTTCGTGGGGTGCGCAGCGGACGGAGCTGGGGGGTTTCTCGCTTCGCCCCCCCTCATCGATGAGGACGTCCTTACCGTCAAGCGCGCACTGAAGGAGGATCTGGATAAGGGGAACTGCATTCCAATGCCAGCAGAGGCGATTGGCCACCTTCGCTGGCACTCCTGCAAAACAACTCTCCCCACCTACATGACCCACTTTGGGATCACTGCTCGCACGGTGCGGTTTCAGGGAGCATGGAAGAAGCAGTCGCAGCTCATGCCCGACCTGTATCTCCGGGAAGCCCAGACCCTGGTGATCAAGGGGCAAATGGAGGTCCTGGATCAGGTTAGGAGAGGCGCGATTGTTCAAGCCATGGAAGGTCGAAGCCTCGATCTCATCCCCATGAAACCAGATTGGAGGGCTCCGACCGAAATGGCAACCCCGGAGTCATCAGTCCCGGGAGCGCGCGACCCCGCGTTCGTTGCAGCCATGGAAAAGGCAGTCGTTTGCGCCGTGGCGCCCGGTTCTGAGGAGAAGACCTTCAGACCGAGTAGCGCCGCTTCGGTGCTGAGTCTGCCTGCAGCCCTTCGCGGCTGCGGTGCGAGCGACGAGGAGAGCTTGGCTGAGACGGCTCACAAGGAGACCCTTGCTATGAGCGAAGCCGGCCAAGCCTCCGATGTCGCCGAAGTTGGCGAGGTTTTCAACGAGCTGGACTCTGTGGTGGACTCCGACGACTCGGAAGTCGACCCGGCAGATGCAGATATGGACCTTTTTGGTTATTTCGTCCAGTTGGCCAGCGGCTCCGGCAAGATACACAAGCCGTCCAGTGACAGAGAAGACTACCCAGCCTGCCGTAGCCACGGCACCCGCTACTCGAACCTCAAGGTGGACGAGGACTGGGGCTTGGCCTACCGCCTTTGCACGAAGTGCTTCGGAGGCCCCAAGGGAGACGAATGCTGCCCTTTGCTTTGCGACTTTTTGACGAACGACAAGAAGACCGGCGAGAAGTTGCGCTGCGGGCGACGGTGCGACCCTGCGGCGGTGGAGCACCACAAGCTGCCTAGTGAGCCGGGTTTTAGCAGGGCGCTGAGGCACAGATGTGCCATTCATAGTGATGTCATCCCTGAAGGAGAGCTTTGACCCTCCGTGTACCGATTTGAAAATAATTAGCGCTGGCCGCCGTCCGAATTGTTTAATAAACCCATGTAGCCATGCCTCCATGTAGCATAGGTCTTGCATATTAGTCGATATACAAGATACATGCATTTGTGGAGTTAACCCTGGGGATCCACGCTCTTTCGTCTAAGTGTGACGGAGTGCATCTAGGGAGACGTATGCACAGATGCCTCGGGGATGTTTTGGACCAAAGCCCCCCCGATGTGACCCCCAAGAAGGGGGAGTAGACCTGCTCCGTTGGTTACCGCAATGGCAGATGCAAAGTCTGCGGTGGCCTTCGCTCGAGCAGCGGTGAACTTCGAAGTTCATGAGTCGGACTTCCTGGTCTTGTGCAATGACCGGGTGACGACCTTCGAGGCTATGGCCTATCGATTTCCGAACGGCTCGGATTTCGAGGACTACCTCCGGCGTTCCCTCCGAACTCGGGCGGGATACCGTGAGAATGATGGGTCGATAGCCGTCTACCCAAGACCAAAAATCCTCGAATGGGAGGACTACAAGTCTGACGAGGACGTCGGCTGCTTGAGAAAATTGTGGGGTCTCTCCTCGCAAGTTGCCAAGCGACACCTTGAGAGGATGGCGGGAGATGACACAGACTTCAAGTCGAAGGTCACCCTAGCCATGGCCCAAGAGCTTGAGGACAAAGCGGTCGAGTCCGGCATGCCCGAGCCCAGTTCCGACCGAGACCGTCCATCACTCCATACACTCTCGAAGGTTCAAGGAACTTTCGGCCCCGGAGGGACATTTCAGCACATCCCCTGGGAGAGTTATGTCACCATGGAGACGGAGTCCCGTCTTAGGAGGGCTGGAAAGCTCCCGCGTGACAAAAAAGAGGTGGTCCTCGACGACCAGAAGCTGAAGGTGAAGACAGCGGAAGAGGACTTCCCGGAGACCACAAAGGTGGAGGACATCCTCACCCTCAAGGACACTATGAACCTCCGAGCCCGTGCCTTCCACATGCTGAATGTGTGCCCATACAACGTGGTGGCATCCTACGGCGAGAAGATCGTGGAGCACCTGAGGGTAACCACGGCTGAGGGCATGAGACAGCCGACTCTCAACGAGGCCCGAAGGGCCGATAGGGAGATCATGGCTGAAATTTTAAAGTGGGTGGCAAAGGGTCGGGGTTCCGTTGAGGCCGGTTTGCACCACTATGTGAATTCGGCCGAGTCGGAGGCCCTCTGGAAACTGCTTGCTCCTCAGCCTGAGACCCTTCCAGATCAAGGGAAGGAGAAAAGCGCGAAGCCCAAAACAGTCCCTGGGAGTGAGGAACCCCAAGGGTCGGGTAGTAAGCGCCCACGCGAGGAAGTCGCAGACCATGACACAGAGGAGAGACCTTACAAGCCGAAGAAACCTAGGTTTTTTATAGTCTGCAAGAGACACCATGAACCCAGGTGCAAGATTCCCCCTGGTTACAGAAAAGAAGACAAGAAGGCCGCCAAAGGTGGCAAAGGAAAGGGGAAGGGCAAACGCCGACCGGCTAGCCCATCGAAGAGCCCGAAGAAGGGCTAGGGACATCTCCTCTTGGCCGGAGGAGCGACCACCCCGGCGAGAGGACAATCTTCCAAGACAGGCAAAGACCACAGCGCGTTGCAAGCCTGGAAAAAGGTCGCATCACCGTGGGACTTGCTGCGGGGCCGTGATGTGTTTAGGGATAGGGTTGCTCTCTTTAGGGATCTTAATTCTTC